GACTACCTGTTTATCTGCCGGCAAATTTTCACATAGAACAGAGGGTATATGTACTTTATAATGCTGTCAGCGACAAATAGTGTCATCTGAACGAACTTTCAGGACTTCTCAAGCCTTACTTGAGAGACTGTGGACACCTGCTAAGAGTTATTCTTCTGAATTTACAGAAGCAGAGTTCCCCTTCCACTAGATTATATAAGTGAATTCTGGAGGTGTTTCATAATGGAGTTGTGGCCATTCAGCTTTCCCTGACCTTACTTGGGTGGCTTGGTTACATTGGTTAGAGCAGTCTATCTTAATACGCTTGTGGACAGGAAGAAATATAGGCCAGTCTCTTCTTTTACGGGATGGGTGGGTTTGGAGGGAGGTAGGAGGGTTTCTGAAAGGGCAGGGTCTGTTTATCTTTTTAGTGGGTTTTTCTCTATTTTGTTTTCTCCTTTTCCTCTTTTCCTTTTCTACCCTTTGTTACAAGACCCACCATGTCTTTTACCTCATCTACTGACAATTATTTTCCACATTGCCACACTAGTGCACGTTGTGATCCATGTCTGCAGATATAACATACAGCTTTCTTAGTTGGAACACCAATGGAATTAATCAACAGGTTAAATGCTCAAAAATCCTCGACTTCCTTAGAAATCATAGTGTTGACGTTGCATGCAGGAATCTCACTTAACAGATGCAGAACACTGTAAGCTAGGTAAACAATGGCAAGGCCAAATATACTACTTTTCATTCACCTCTCAGGCGCGGGGAGTGACCATTTTATTAAGAAAAGGGTTGCCGTTTTATTTGAAACATGTAGAAAAGGACAAGGAAGGTTGATGAGCCAGCCACTACACTTAATGTTTACAGACCAAATCAAAATGATCCAAATTTCTTTGTGAATCTTTTCTTCAATATAACTTCCCCCCCCCCCCACTGAGCTCATCGTCGGAGGAGACTTTAACCTGGTTCTGGAGCCAGCTAAGGACAGATCCTCTCCAACTCCTAAATCTTTATCCTCAGCAGCTAAGGCCCTTAAAAAGAACTAGATCAATTTAATCGATGTGTGGAGAGTCAGACACAAATCTCTTTGTGAATACTCTTTCTACTCATAACAGTTACTCCCGGATGACATTTTTATGCAGGGAAGGAGCATCTCGTTACCTCATGCGAATATTTATCTAAAATACACTCAGATGATGCTCCTCTCCTGCTCCAGGTTCCCCATTCATTTGGTCCGTGATGAGGACTTCATCAAATGAACTAATGAACAGATTGGTTTCTTTCTCACCACAAATGCAGGTTCTGCTTTCCCGAAAAAAAACAAAACAATGTCAATCTAAAATGAGGACACAAACACCTGTCTGAAACATCCAATCTGCAAACTGTACACAACTTCTGTTGGAGCCCGAAACCTGGTTAAACGTACAGACCCTCACTACCCATAATGCTCCTGTGAATCCTCCCCCAGTGTTTCATTAGCAGCTGGAACCACAGTGACTCTGATAAAACAGGAATTAGCAGAATCCATCTGATATGAAGCTGTGGTTTGAATACCACTTCCCTCCTCTTTGAAGAGTAGTCAGATATCTGGGTTCAGGTTTTTGTACAGCCTCTTCTACACTTTGTATCACTGTGTTTCTAGAGCACAGTAGTAGAGAGCTGTGTCTGCCAGGGTTAGATCTCTGATGGTCAGTGTAGTTGATGTTGCTGATGTTTCAGATTCATATCTTCTATCAGGAATATGTTCATCTGAGATATCTTTTGCTCCTTTCCAGAGTATAAACTGAGGTGCCTGAAGGTCAGAATGATGTTTGTACCAGTAAAGCCAAAATATTAGTAGCAGCTGTCTGATAGTTGCATGTGAGTGTGACAGATTGTCCTTCTCTTTCACTGACTTCCTCTCGTTCAGGAGAGATTGTGTCTCCAGCTATTAGTCCTGGAAAAAGTAGAGCAAATGAAGCCATTAGACTAACATTGTTCATGAGGCTGAGAGGAGAAGACAGTGGAAAATGGCAGCTGTACAGTGTTACTCTGTGGACACAAACAGCTCAGCTGTTTCCATAAATCTTTAGAAAAGAATAAAAAGATGTTGTGCTTTCTATCTTACCAAAGAAAAGAGCAGCAAGAATAATCCCCAGCCAATGTTCCATCTCTACAACAAGGTTTAAATCAACAGGAGAAACTAGCTGATGTTCAACATTCAGTCTGAGAATTGTTCTCTTCACAGCAGCAGTTATTATTGACAGAATGGTTGAACACAGTGCAGAAGTAGTGCACCGCCTACTTGATAATGTGGCTCAGCTTGGATTAACAGCAGCTACAGTGTCATCTAGTGGCCAATCAGAATCAGACCACAGAAGAAGAAAAGACACCACTGAAACTTGTGCCAGAGAACCTAAGAGATCTAGAGGGAGGACACATTAAAAGCACATCTGACAAGTTTTCAGGCGCTAATAAACCAACAAAAAGAGCTTAAAATCTATTCTAAAACTGACAGGCAGCCAATGCAGGGACTTTAGGACAGGTGATATGTGTGCTCTCCTTCTGATCTTAGTACATGTACTGCTGCATTCTGAATGATCTGTAGATTATTTATAGCTTTCTTAGGTAGAACAGAAAAGACAGCATCAATATGTGCAGAGTAAAAAAAGCTGCGTTGCCTTGTTTTTATACTTTCATGGTTGATCATTACTTGGTCATCCATAAAATCTCCTCTGTAAACTGGCACTGAAACAAATGTGTGTGAGAAACATTTGGTGCAGAATCCATTTGTTAAAGAGAAAAGATTTTTTTATCATGAGGTGGGATAGAACCACCAACCCTTGGGTTGTGATTCCTGTGTCTCACCAACTGAACTAACTGAACATCATGTCAGCAACTTAATATTATAGATTATATTCTCACCCACCATCTAATGGTTAAAAATCTGCTCTTACTTATTTGCAGACCCCTGCAGTATATTATTACTTCTTCTTCTTCTTCTAACGTATGCAGCCAACACAGTAATGAGTGTCTGCTCTGTTCATCACTAGATGAATGTAGTGATGAAACGCGCTCTGTAGCCTGTTTGTCCATTTTCAGCTACTGTAGAAACATGACGATGCAACGTGGCGACGTCCATAGAAGGGGGTGACGGCGGTTATGGAGATATAAATGGCTCATTCTCTGGTAATAGACACATAACTGTTCATTATGTAAAGTCTTTACACACCTCTGAAAACATAGTAATGGATATTATTAAATTCTGTCAATAGAGCCTCAGAAATATTACACACTGTCTGTTTGTCTGATGGAGAGAATCACTATGAAAGGCTTTGTATAAAGAGCGTTCTGTAAATGCAGTGTATTTAGTGTTTACAGGAACGTTTGATGGCTGACAACATTGTTGCGATATATCCTTTAGGTTACAAAGAAATCAGTGTGTTAATCTCATCAGGAACTCAGAGGAATATTGATGTAACCAATACTTTATCTACATAGTTAACATCACACTCCTTATATCAACAGTGTGTCAGGGCTATTAACACTGTATTTCATTTTTTAGTGTTATGCCTCATTTTTCTTCAAGTTTTTCTCATCAGTGCAAACAATCCAGGCTGGATTATAAACCACTGAAGTTGGTGAAATGTAAAGTTCAGAGTGAAGAAGTTACAAGTGACAACTGTTTGTTTGTCCACTGACAACCAATTTAAAATCTCCAGCCAGAAATCTGTGTCACATTTGATTTTGAACTGAATTTCAAACCACATTTCAATAATCTCATTCAATCCTGCTACTTCCACCTAAGAAATATTACCAAAATAAAATCAGCTATGTCCTTTGTCTTTTCACACCTGGACTATTGCAGTGCACTGTTTACCTGCCTTAGTTAGTCCTCAGTGGCTCAGCTTCAGGTCGTGCAGAATGCTGCTGCTTAAATTTTAACTAAGACCAATTGTAGGTCCCATTTCACCCCAATTCTCACCTCCATTCTTTGGTTTCCAGTTAATAACTTTGATAGAGGTTTTGACTCCCTATGCTCCAAGTTGTGACCTGACATCCTGTGACCTACCCTCGCTAGTCCTCAGGTCAGGGCTTCTGAAAGGGTGACCAGACATACATTATTTACTAATACTTTACTCGCACAATTCTATTATAGTTGTCACATTTCGGGACAAATCAAAACATGAGACAAAATAAATCACCTACAAAACACATGTTCAGCTCCAGACAGGAAGATTGTTTGCATCTGTCAAATTCTCCCTCTATCATTTCATGCTTCATCACCTGGTCATCCATGAATTCTTTTCTGTTTTGTAAACTATTTCATGGACTATGATCCTTTCACAAATGTTTTAATCTCCAGACTGGATCCTGTAAATCTGACAGATGCAGAGTCAGAGCCTTGACTTCATGTGTTTTTCCAGAATGGATATTTGAACCATTTTCTCCTGAAGGATCAAACAGCAGTGGAGAGAAAGGACTTCCTTGGTGGAGGACTCTCAGCTGGTTTTGGTTGTCAGAGGATTTTCAGTGTGATAGTCTCTCATTTATGTGAATAACACCTGATGTTATAAAGTTACCATCCAATAACTAATAATTATTTTGTGTGACGTGATTCAAAAACACTTCAGAACTGCTAGGAAAATCTTCCAAGGTTTTACCTAGTTAGACACATTTATATAGAAATATTTTTAGTTTTGTTCCTAAATGAGACGATATCTTTTAAAAAACATCCACTTAAACATTTTTTTTTATATGAAAACAAATTTTTTTTTCATGAACACTGAACCAATATTCTCACTATTATATATCTATAATATTTAAAGAAATGCTCACACAGTGTTACTATGGTTACCTTGGTGAAATGTAAAGTTCAGAGTGAAGAAGTTACAAGTGGTTTCATTTCTAAAGCTTTAAATGACAAAGAGTAAAGTGGATCCAACCTGCATCATCACACTGAAGTTTAACAGTGTGTGACTCCCTCTAGTGGACGTTGTGGAGTATTCTGTTGTCTTTGCTCCAAAGGTTTTTGTACAGAGTTTTGGTGTTTCCTGTCACTGTGGGCTGCAGAGCACAGTAGTACACAGCAGAGTCAGACAGCTGAAGCTTCTGGATCTTCAGAGGAACTGATTTTGAGGTGGAATCAACTGTTGATGAAAACCTCTCCTTAAACTTATCCTCTGTTTTCACATCGTTCTGTTGCATGCGACTCAGCATGAATTTGGGGCTGTTGTTTCCATCCTGTTTGTACCAGAACAAAGTTGGATTTGTATAACTGGTCTCAAAAGTACAGCCAAGTGTAACTGTGTCTCCTTCAGCAGCAATGACATCTCCTGCTGGCTGGGTCACTCTGTCTTCTCCTTTACACTCTGGGGAAGAAGAGAACATGCAGAGGAAGAGATGGATCAATAAAGATGATTGATTAAAGGAGAACAATCAGTAGGTTTAAAGAGTTACCTAGCCAGAGAGTCAGAATCAGGATGTTTCTCAGCCAGTGGTTCATGTCTGCAGTGAGAGGGGAGGAGAGAGAGGAAGAACATTGATACTCTGATGGATCTGGGCCTTCACATCATTGGCCATTCCTCTTCATCATCTGTTGTCTTTTCTGACCTTGAGTCCCAGTTTTGCTCCTCCCTTAATCCCTCCCTCCTTCCTTTCACAACTCTGACAAATAGTGAGTTTGTCTCTGCTGTGGTGCTGTAATTCACTACATGACATCATTTCCATCAGTTAACAAGAAGCTGATAAGGTAAAACTGGTTGACTCTTGACAGAACATGTGAAGGTCCTGACTGAGGTCAATCTTTAGACAGACGATATACAACTATTCAATTACACATGACAGCCACACTTATTCAATACATTACTCAAACATACTATTCACATTATTACATTTGTGTCACATTTTAGGACAAATCATATCATGAGACGTCTTTACAAAAATAAATTGAGTAAACTAGATGTTAAGCTCCAGACAGGAAGATTGTTTGCATATGTCAAATTTTCCTTCTATTGTTTCATGCTTGATCATTACTTGGTCATCCATAAATTCTGTTCTGTTCTGTAAACAGTTTAATGGACCATCATTGGTTTACAAATGTTTTAATCTCCAGACTGGATCCTGTATATTTGACCAAGGGCATCGTAGTGGGGGGTGAAAGCATTTAGCAATTATAGTCATTGCATAGAAGTAAATGTTGAAAAAAGGTTGAAATGTGTTGACATTTCGGATGACATGTGTGTTGGAGGGGGGTTTTGGGGGGTGGGGGCAGTGGGTAATGGGGGTGGGGCACAGGGACTGCTTACAGAATTTGTGCAACGACCCGGTATATCTGACAGATGCTGAGTCAGAGCCTTGACATCATGTGTTTTTACAGAATGGACATTTTAATTATTTACTCCTTAAGGATCAAACAGCAGTGGAGAGAAAGGACTTCCTTGGTTGAGAACTCTCAGCTATTAGGCTGCTGATAGTCTCTCTTTATATAAACACCATCCAACATCATTATCATCCTTTGTCGGAATTGATTTAAAATAACATTTCAGAACTTGTAGTATCTTCCACATGCTGCTGCTGCATTGTTTTGTTTAATCACCAGCACCACAAATTCAGATCATAAACCACTGAAGTTTAACAGTGTGTGACTCCCTCTAGTGGACGTTGTGGAGTATTCTGTTGTCTTTGCTCCAAAGGTTTTTGTACAGAGTTTTGGTGTTTCCTGTCACTGTGGGCTGCAGAGCACAGTAGTACACAGCAGAGTCTGTCACTGCAGCAGAGGAGATCTGCAGATGAAACTCCTTTGCTGTTTTGTCATGTTTATAAGAAAACCCTGCTTTCTTTGAATATTCTGCAAGGAAAAACTGTGGAGATGAACTGGACTTCTGTTGATACCAGAAGAAGTAGTCGAAAGATCCTGAATAGTTGCAGGAGACAGTCACAGAGTCTCCTTCCAAAGCCAGCATTACATCTTTAAATGGTTTCACTAAATCCTCAGAGGATCCTGAAAAAGACAAAGAGAGATTTCACTCTGATATTTCTTTAAAGTGAGAGAAAAACAAATGAGTATTTGCCAAACTGAAATGTTTTCTGAGTCATGTTTAAAATCTCCTGTTAAATTTCACTCACCAGTGTGAAACATGAAGATGATCATCCAAACTAAGCAGAGCTGCATCATTTCCACTTGTACTGAATGAACAATAGAGAGAACACAGCAGCTCTTCACTTCCAACATGAAGCCTTTCATATTCAGTTGTGGAGCTCCTCCTCTTGCTGTGCTCTGTTTCCATTCAGGCTGATGGAAGCTTTAGAAATGACAGTGATGCTGCAGTCATCATCATCCAAGAAGGTCAGACTGAAGGAGGAATCTGCAGGAAATTCACCTGAAGGAATCTGGACACAAACACCTGGCTGAAACCTCCAATCTGCAAACTGTACACAACTTCTGTTGGAGCCCGAAACCTGGTTAAACTTACAGATCCCCACTACCCATAATGCTCCTGTGAATCCTCCCCCAGTGTTTCATTAGCAGCTGGAACCACAGTGACTCTGATAAAACAGGAATTAGCAGAATCCATCTGATATGAAGCTGTGGTTTGAATACCACTTCCCTCCTCTTTGAAGAGTAGTCAGATATCTGGGTTCAGGTTTTTGTACAGCCTCTTCTACACTTTGTATCACTGTGTTTGTAGAGCACAGTAGTAGAGAGCTGTGTCTGCCAGGGTTAGATCTCTGATGGTCAGTTTAGTTGATGTTGCTGATGTTTCAGATCCATATCGTTCATCAGGAATATACTTCTGATTACTCCGTGATTTTGCTCCTTTCCAGAGTATAAACTGAGGTGCCTGAAGATCAGAATGATGTTTGTACCAGTAAAGTTCAGGATAATTGTATGTTGTCTGATAGTTGCATGTGAGTGTGACAGATTGTCCTTCTCTTCCACTGACTTCCTCTCGTACAGGAGAGATTGTGTCTCCAGCTATTAGTCCTGGAAAAAGTAGAGCAAATGAAGCCATTAGACTAACATTGTTCATGAGGCTGAGAGGAGAAGACAGTGGAAAATGGCAGCTGTACAGTGTTACTCTGTGGACACAAACACTCCAACACTCACCTATGAAGTGAGAGCAAAGTAAAAAGAGGTAAAGCAACATGTCTTTGGAGTTGTTAAAGCCAGACAGACAGCAGATGAGCAATGTTCTTCCACTGCAGTAGAATGAAGAAACTAAACAGCCTCTCTGCTGCACAGCCCTTCTCCTCAACATCAAGCTGATTGTGCTTTTAGTTCCTCAAACATTTCTGCTCTGGAGACGCAAACAATCTCATTGGTTGAGTTGGACTTCAGTGGGCGGGGCCAGAGAATCCCCTTTTTAGAGATAGGCTGTCTACAAAAGTTCAACTTAGTTCAGTGGTTGGGCGTACCGTGACTCCAAAAGCTCCATAAAACTGTGAAAACCTGTATTCTCTACCACAGCGGTGGCCTGGTCATCCAAGAGTTCAATGACCCTCTCTGTAATCCTTTTGACCTTGTCCCTGTCTCTGGGAAATCGTCCAGTGTTTGTTTCTTTGGTGCAGGCTTTGCTGAGTTGCCTGAGTGAACTCACTGGATTCTGGTTCCAGATCAAATTGGCATTATTGAACGCAGCTTTGTTACTGCCGCCTGGTGAAATGCTCACATGTCCGGTATCATAAGTGGCTGTTGTTTTCTTGGTCGTAGACAGCTGAAGTCTGTTTCTGCTGTTCATTCAGTCTCTTGTTCGTTATTGTTGGTGTCCCCATAGTTGTTAGATGTGATGACAGAAAGCTCTCCAGTCTTCCTCTTTGGATGGTAGCACCAGTGGTGGTCTCAAGGATCTGGGGGGCCGTTTCAAGAGCAAATGTGGGGCCCTACCCAACCCCATGATGGGGCTGGTTGGCACAAATTGACAACATGACTTTAATCACCGATCATCAATTTTAGAAAACATTTATGTACATTAAAACATCTTTATAGCAGAGATCTTAATTTTAATTTGCTGCTGGTTAGAATATTTTAATATAAATTATGCCAGAAATTTTATGCTATGGACTCATTCAATCAACCCAAGTGCAAAACCACACTCACTCCAAGTGCTCACCCCTCACACTACCACTGCACTCAAAATTGGCCGATACAGGTCTACTCCGTTACAGACGCGCAGTGGCTGGCCAGTCCGGATTAAGGCATGGCTGGCATCACCCTCTGAGTTGATGCAGACTGCCAACAACCTTCGGCCGCTGTGCCGGTCAGCCCATTCGGCTGAC